CTTAACAGTGTGTGCGTATGGATCACATGTGAGTATCTCCAGACAGGTGGATTACCCCTGCTTCTTTAGGCTGAGTGGGGCCCAAGAAGACTTAGCAAATGGAGAATTATGCTTTAATTGCTCTTTTTTACCATGAAGCAAGAAGTTCAACAGAAAGTACACACCAAGCCTCGTCTGCAGGAGCAAATAAATTCTGAAACCATAAACTCTGAAAATTATTCTTAAAAAGATTTGTGGAGTCCCAACAAAGGTTTGAGTAAGCCTTGTGGTTTAAAGGGTAAGCTCTGTACTTGGAGGTGCCCTGTGCCAGCCCTAGAAGGCACCCTGTAAGCCAGCCTGGCCCCCTCAGCAGGTGCCAGGGCCAGAACCACCTGCCTGGCCTCCTCTCAGGGGGAGTTCTATGACCACCAGCACCCTATCAGCATGAAACACTTGTTCACACAAACTCTCACCAGAAATGATGGAGGTAGCCTGTGATTAAGATCAGCATGAACAACATATGTTTTTTCCTTCTGGAAAAAGAGACTTAGCCAATATTATGAAGTGTATTGATTTGTATTTTGTAGCCCAGTGGTTCCCAACCAAAGCTAGGCATTCGAATTACCTGAAGAACTTTAGGAAATAAAAATGCCAAATGACTTGTTCTAGAATAATTAAATGAGAACAACTAAGGCTGAGGCTCAGTGTCAACATTTCTTAAAATGTGGGGGTTGAATATGGGGGTTGAAAGCTGCTGAGAGGGAAGATGGAGAGGCAGTGAGGGAGGGTCTGTGCCTGCTAGTGAACGTGCCAGGTGTGTCTATGAACAGGTATTGTTCTAAGCATTTTTCATAGACCAAAATTTTTCCACTGTACTCCTTACAATAAACCTATGAAGTCAATTCGTTTTTGCAAATAGGTGTCTGGAAAATTTTGAGGCGTTGAAACAACTTTTCAGAGTGGAAGACACTTAGAGGATTCTCTGTTATGAAAGGAGAGGTAGCCTGTGTTACATCCGGTTTCCTCTCCCACAGCTCTGTGCACAGAAGACATAGACATGGCTCCTGTGTGATCAGCATGCTACTTCTGCCAGGTGACTCCCAGGTGTGATGATCAGTCAGGAATCCTCAGATTCCAGGTCGAAGATCCTGACCTCTAAATTCCTGAAAGGTATTTTTCCTGCAGTCAGTCTGTAAGATAAGTAAAATAGGCAGACACTGAGAGCATACAGCCCTACCAAGACTCTGGTAGTACAAATATACTTTAGTAGTACACAAGCTGTAACTCCCAGGTACTTGCAGTTAACACCTGTGCACATTCACACGTAATCTCTCATGTTATATTTGCAAGTGACCTGGGGAGCCTCCATTATAAAGAGCAATATGGGTAGGATGAGATTTAGAATGCATTGTAATTTAGCTGGTTGCAAAGTCTGAGACCACTTGCCTTCAGTAAGGGGATATTTTAAACCAGTAAACCTCCGTGTTTTGTTATTATTGCTTTTTGTGTAGAGTTCTGTAAATTTTGACTCACATGCAGAGCCATGTAGCCAGCATTGCCACCGCCATGCGGACCAGAGGCATAGAGGCCCAAGGGCAAGAGTGTTGCTTCAGGTCATTAACTGCTCCTCCTCCTGAGCTTGACTTTCTGGTGTGGGGTTAGCTCCATGCCATTCGAGCTAGTGATTTCTTGGCAGAGTGGAGACAGACCTTTCTGAAAGTTTGACTAATGGTAGGAGTGAAAATATGCAGGATGTATGGCTTTCCTTTTTCCAGCTTCCCAAGATACTAGATTCCTCAAGGAAAGTCTTGAGTCATGAAAAGGAAGCTGAAATCAGAGCTCTAAAGATTGGGTTACTTACTGGAAAGAAATGAAATGCTAAGTCTCCAAAAACAAGAGGCACCGCCTCATAGGGTGCTGTGACCTGGGATGAGAAATGGGATTATGGAAAGTGGATGTTCCCAGGGTGATGGAGGTAGGTGGCAGGGCAGCTCTTGTTCTCTGTCCTGACTCCAGAACCTTCATCAGCCAACTTCTGCCTTTTCTAACTGAATACACACCTTTAGTGCCAAGCCCAGCAGCCCAAGAGACTTGAGTCCTTGACAAGACAGAGCAGCAAGAGACATCTTTGATGCCTGTGGGCCTGTTCAGGGAAGCTCATTTGATAGCAGTGTTCATTCTTTGATCTCAGCTAACAAGTTACCAACTTCTGTTTTGAAAATTATGACAGTTTTGTTTACTTGGCTCTATGAAAGCGTAAGATTCTAGAATAAAAAGCTCTATCTGGAGACCAAATAATAATGCAGCTATACCCTAGGAGAATAAATTGCTGTCTCCAGTTAAAGAAATGCATTTTATTCCAGTGGCTCATCTTTTCCCTTTGTACCTCTGTTCCCTCTGTGCCAGGCACTTATAGCCTTGGTTCCCAGGAACCAAGTGACTTGTCCGTGGATGGGTGATCAGGGATCTGCCAGTGAAGGTGACAGTGGGATCAATGGCCAAACAAATGGTCCTTTCTTTCTGCAGATAAGAGTAAAATCTTCAGTAAGGGAGAGAAGGGGGGAGAGAGGGAAAGAGGGAGAAAAGGACATTTGAGCTAAACCTGAATGAAAGGGATGAGGAAAAATTTTTTGAACAGAGGGAAGAGCCAGTTCAAAAGGTCCCTAGCTGACAGCAAGTGGTGTGTTCCACAGAGAGGAGGCTGCTGTGGCTGTGTCTGGGGATGGGGGTGAGTGGGTGATAGGCAGCCTGGGCCACTTAGGTGTTAGACCATGTAGGGAGTTGACCATTTTAAGCAAAGGGCTGTGGAGGTGGATTGATATGGCTCCCTAATACCTGTGGTGTTTGTCTGGTCAGGGGAGAAAATTAACCATCAGTATGGAAGGACACCTTAGGCTCTCTCCTGGATGGCTCAGAGAGGCTGATGAGACATGATCATACTTGAGTAATATTTTGAAGGGTGAACTCGGGACTGGCTGGTACAGAAAGGATAAGGAAAAGAAATGGATTGAGGATGACTCTTGGACTTTGGATCCCACTGGGAAAGGGATGAGTTAAAAAAGACCAGGAAGACCACAATTTGGGGCTGGACATGGACCAAATAAGAGTTCTGTTTGGATTGGAGAAGTGCCCTGTAGATATCCAGGTAGGGGTGAGGGGGAGCCAGTGGTAATCAAGTCTGGAGTTTGAGGGAGCAGTCAGTTATTTAAATCATGCCTTTATGGAGCTTCTGAGAACTCTGGTGTTCTTGTGGAAACTTTTAGTACTTTAGACACATTTGGTTGTGTGAGTGCTCTTCAACTCCTGAAGAACCTTGGAGTGTATGGGATTCTCGCATCCCTCCTGAGTGACACCCTTCCGGGGATGGGCAGATGGGAGCCCTCTACAGCTATACCGGCTGTGTAATGGTTGAATCGTTCCAGACATTTTTTTCGACTTGGACAGCTGTTTTCTAAATTCTTTTGTGTATATCCTCTTCCTTGAGTGAGATATGGATCTCACTACATAATTATGCACATTCCCAAGGGCGTGCAGCACAGTAATTAAGATGTAAAAAGTTGTCAGTCATGTTCACCTTGAAAAGGTTCCTGAAAATAACCCAATCATGAGCGCTCCAGATGTTTGTGCTTGAGGGTCTTGCACAAGAAAATTGGACCCTGTTATCCCTTGGACCCTGTAGTCCTTCACCCCACACAAGTGGCCAGTTAGGGCACCATTGTTGTAGATAGCAAGTGGGTGATAAATCTGAAGACAACAGGAAAACGACAGCTTATGACTCAGGGTGGAAAAATCTATACACTAAACCACTTACTTGTTATGTTTGGGTAAGTCCCTATTCAAATTGTCCCTGGCTTAAGATCTGCTTCCCCTTTTTTTCTCCAATTTCTTATGTCACTTTTGCTCTTTCTTAAAAAAGCACCTTTCACCTACTCCGTCCAGGCCCTTGATCTGCTTACCTCAGCTGCTGTTCTCTCTGAGTATCATTGTGTTTCCAGTGTTTTCTAGATTTTGTTCTGTTAGGAAGTCTGGTCATCTTCACTTATGCCAAAGATGATGTACCCTAGACTGGCAAACATCACCCTTTGAGGAAGCCTTCAGGTAGGCTGACTGCATCATTGGCTCCCTTGCGTGGTCAGCCTGTTGGCGGATGATCACGTTGGGAGATGGTGCAGCCCAGGTGGCACAAGAGTTGGAGATAGCAACCCTCTCAGCAGGCTTTCAGGGGAGCAGGCGCCCCAGCCCCCCTGGCCTGTCTGCAGTTTCCCAGCTCTGTGACCATGAGCAAAGGACTGGATTTTCCAGCCTTTGTTCTCTCTAGAATTGGGAGTAATTGTAACAGTCCTCTGATATTTGACTGAATGAAATGAATACCTGTAAAACACTTAGCAGATTACCTGCTACTTTAAGAACTCAATGGTCTTTAGTTCTCTTCCTAACCTGTCTGAGTCCTTATTCATCAGGAAATAATAGCCATGCACACTGAAAATGCACTTGCTGGTAAATAGTTATTAGGGAAGACAAAGCAATCTTTGGAAGCAAGCTAGACTGAAAAGATGAAGGGGAGTTGACAATCAAAGCAAAGTGGAGAAAAAGAACAGCAACTCTCAAAGCTTAGTTCCAGAACCTGCATCGTTACCTGGGAGCTTGGTAGAAATGCAAATTCTCAGAGCTACTGAATCAGATACTCTAGCAGGGGGCCAGGGAATCTGTGTTTTAAGTGAGTCCTACAGGTAATTCTAGTCTAAATTAACTCAACATATACAGAGTGAGGACTATGTGTGCTTCTAACTGTGTGCATTTGCATAAAATATATTTTAAAAGGTCTGTAACTGCTGAAATTATTACCCAAGAGTGGTGGTATCAACAAAATCGCATACATTGGTGATTGATACCGATTTCCCTTTGGCACTGTCATCTGAATAGAAGTATGTCCAGATGCTTATTTGTAATGACTTTGTATTAAGTCCATTTAGGGTTTAAAATGATTGATTCATTTACTTTTTTCTTCTTTTTTACCCTAGGAAATTCCACTTACTTGGATGACCATGGGCCACCTCCCAGTAAGGTAAGATCTTTGCTTGTCATAGAAATTTCTTTTTCTTGGTACCTCCAGCCTTTAACCACCCAAACATTCCTTCCTGACCTTGATTTGGTCACAAGAAAAGAGCAGCTAGCAGTTGTCAAGGTAATTCTGGACTGACAGTGGGGAGAAAGAGAGAGCATGTGGAGGGAGAAAAATTTTGAGGGGAGAAGCAGCTATACTGTCAGTAGTGTTAGCTGTCCCAGGCCTTGGAGTCTTAGGTTGGCATCAGATATTTGGTAGTTTCTTCTAGTAGCTGCATCACGTGCCTTGGCATCTGCACTCACCTGTGATGTGACCTCCCTGTGCCTTAGAGCTCTGGGGCTATAGTCACCTCTGCCCTTTCTCCCAGGCCTGCCTCACTTGAGAAGCTCCAGCTAAGACTCAACCCTCTGGAACCAACCCTCTCCGCCCTGGCCTACTTGCCTACTTGTGTGCTTCCTGTGAGCAGTTTTGGCCTAAATTTTAAGGGTCACAACAGCCCAGCGAAACTATTAGTGTAGTTCCCCACCGCTCTCTACCTTCTCAAAGATAGTCTTTGACTTTTAAGGTGATGCCTGCAAAGTGCAGATGTAAGTACATCTTGAAAAGATAACCAACTGCTAACCTTACAGGCTGGAAATTTACTGCAAAGTCAGCTTCTGAGTTTCTGGATTTTGAAAACTCTTACCAGATTTAAGAGCATGAGCTTTGAAGAAAGGTGTTTCTGGGTTCATCTCTGGTTCTGCCACTGTTTTACCAGATAAATTAATTAATGTTTCAAGTCTCAGTTTTTTGATATGCGAAGTGGGATTAAAAATACTACCCACAATACAGGATGTCGAAAAGGATTGAGTAAGCTGATATATGGCAACACTCAGCACCTGGCATGCAATCAGCATTAAATAAACGGTGGATAATAGTAACTAGACTGGAGTAACATTGAGATTATTGATAAATGGCACAGTAGTATTTATGACAGTCATGAATGACTTTCCTGCCTGGTCCACTGCATATATTTGTGTTGCAGTATTACAGGCAGTGAGAATACAAATGTGAATCAAAGCAAAAACAACAAATAGTCCCAGAAGAATATAGAGAATTAGACATTTCTTTCTTTTTTTTTTTTAAGATTTATTTATTTATTTATACAAGCACTGAGTACAGTCAGAAGTGCAGGAGAGTGAGAGAATTCACCAGAGCCAGAGCAGGGAGCAGAACAGGCAGAAGGACCGAAGTACACTGCTGAGGGGAGCAGCGGGCGGCAGGAGAGGTCTGCGCGCCATGTGGGACCCTCGCCCGGCGGCCGGGGATCGAACCAGCGCTGCAGAGGCTGTGGGCAGCTTCGCAGCCAGTGCTCAACTGCTGCGCCACCAGGGGAGGCCCAGAATTAGACATTTCTGAGAATATGAGCAATATCTCACTCGTCTTGATATCCTGACATCCTCTCCTTATCCTCGATGCACGGGGAGAGGCATGTCACAAGTAGTCATTAAATTTCTCTGAATTGCACCTTGGTATCCTGAGTTAGATTCTAAATTAAGTCTCTGGCTCCCATCCAAAGTTCATTCCGCTAGGCCAGTCTCCTTCAACTTTAGCTTGTCTCTCAAACTATAGCTTGGTTATTCCAGGAGACTTGTTTAAACAAAGATTGCTGTCTCAGACCCCTGGAAGTCTGATTCTGTGGCCTGCATGGGACCTCAGAATCTGAATTTCTTTAGGGATCCCTAGTGATGTGAAGCTGCAGATCTGGGGATCACAGTTGAGAACCACTGCTCTAAAGGTCATGAACAGAAAGAAAACCATTTCTCTGTGTTCTTTCCAGTGCTCATAGACTCGAGAAATTTGTGTGGCTTGTTATGTAAAGGCTGTTTTTCAGTGTATTGATGGTTGCTCACTTTTCTTGCAGCGAAACATATTTTCTTTGCTTAATAAGCTTCCAGGAGGGAAAGTGAGTGGGGTGGGGAAGGAAGGTGCAGATGGGCTGTGGGTTTCTTCCCCACTAACTAGCTTCTCTCCCCAGTGGGAGCCAAGTGAGCCCGTCCCACCCCTCTGCTCTGCAAGAAAGAGGAAGTTGGTGGCTTTCTCTGCGAATCATTAGCTGCTTCCCTGATGGTGTGTTAGGACAGAACTTTAGTTCTGGGTGTGATAAATGGGATTTTACCTGACAAAAGGTGTGGGCCCACTTTATGTAAACTTGCCTCGAGCTCAATCCTTGATAAACCCGCCTCTAGTCTGCTCTGGGGGCCTTGCTCTAGCCAAGTGGCCATCCTGCCTGCCTCTTTGCTTGTACCTTTGGTGCTTGGATTCTGAGTTTGCTGAGCTCTCTCCCCCTATCCCCTCTGATACCCTCCAGGGCTTTCCCTGACTGTGAATTCCCCTCCCCCAACCCACACTTCAGCCTTCTACCCTCCCTTTTCTTCTATCCCTAATAATTGCTCCCTGATATATACAAAAATGATTGGGTGCTATCAGTTCATATTAAACCACATGCAGAGTAAATCCAGTTTATGAACTTTAGTTCTAGGTTTCCAGTAGTGAATGTCATTTCTTTAAACCAGCAGACGTTTATATAATACAGATTCTTTCAATCTGTGTTTCCATTATCTGGGAGTAGTGTAGCAAAACACTCAAACTTTCTAAGCAGTAGCCATACTCAGAAGAATATAAAAGTGGGTAAGAATAATATTGGTATGCTAACATCTTCTAATCTGTGCTTATGACTTCTGGCAGGGTGGAAATGAATCCCAGAAGAGATGAGTCAGATTTCCAGATAAAGATCCCTTCTCTGTCCCCTGAGGTGGGGCCTCAGTGATTTCGGCCTCCAATCACTGGTGTATCCAGGGACACGGTGGCATCCAGAGGATAAGGACTCACATGTGTGGCCTCTGGAGTGAACCCCTAGCCTGGCGGGGGAAAGCAAGAACGAGTCCAAACCCATATCTTTCTCATTCGTTTAGCCCCAAAAATAACTTCTTGATGCCAAGACTGAAGAAGGGTTTTTAAGCCTGAAAATGTACTGAAGTTGACAGGCGGGTTCTCATTTTATTAAAAGTTCAGCCCCACAAGTTTCACATTCCACAAGTAATAGCCATTTAGGGAATGGGGTGTGGGCCACACAGCACACAGAGCCCAGGTCTGCCTTCCCTGAGGATTTCAGAAGAAAGAGCCCTACACCCCCAATTTGTATTTGTAAAATCCACTTTAACCTTGTAGTTGTCCTCAGTTTTTGAGCTAAGCTATTATTTTAAGGCCGTTGTGAATATTTTTTTTCCACCATCATTTTTTACCACTGCTTTGTGTGTGTGTGCAGAAAGCAGTGGTTTAAGATTACAGCCCTGCCAAGGGTGAGCCTGTGTCTCTCTAGTGGGTGAAGTAGACGCACAGGAAGTAGCAGGCAGGAAGCAAGTAATGTGCGATCCAGCTTCTTACAAAATTGTGCATGTACATCTGTGTGTACAGAGAAGAGCCTGCAAAGACAAATGATGTTTTCTCCAGACGGTGAGATCTCAGGAGACTTTCACCCTCTTCTGGTATATATATATATTTTTCTGTATAACTAAGCAATTATAGTAAGGCCTGTACTATCTAAAAAGCAAAGAAAAAACGTTGTCCTGATGTCAGAGAAGATCACAGATGAAAGTCTGCCATGCTCTGGCCTCTGCGGCATCAGTGGCTCTGCCCACCCCAGAGGCTCTGGCCTGGGGAGGTCAACCTTCCCACCTCCTGCTGCACTTGACCTGGGGTGTGAATCCTGACATGAGTAGCAGGCACCCATCATGATAAATTCTGGTGGCAACAAATAGAAAAATTGTCATTTCACATATGCTGGGTTCTCTAATCAGATAGATAAGGAGAGTTGATCTAAGCAGCTCAAGAAAAATAAAATCATATTCATCGCTGATGTCTGTCATTCCCCCTGTGCCAAGCACTCTGCTAATCATTTTTCATGCAAGATGAGGGAACAAGATGTTAGAAAGGCTGCATCACCTGTCGAAGGTCATGCACTAAGCATTGAACTTAGGATTCCAGCCCAAGCTTGTGTAGCGCGAGTTCGTGCTTTTAAGCATTTCAAGATCACTCATTTAAGTCGAAACACAGTCATTTTTTTTAAAGATTTATTTATTTTTATACAAGAACCGGGGTACAGGCCAGATGCGTGGGAGGATGAGAGGATTCACTAGAGACAGAGTGGTGAGCAGAACAGGCAGACTGAAGAAATACACTGCTGGGGGGAGCAGCGGGCATGAAAGGAGAGGTCTGCCGCGCCATGTGGGACCCTCGCCAGCTGGCCGGGATTGAACCAGTGCTGCAGAAGCTGTTGACAGGTTCACAGTGCAGTGCTCAACGGCCTGCGCCACCAGGGGTGGCCCCACAGTCATTTTTTTTTTTTACCTTCCAGAATTTTACCTTTTTCTATGTTACATGGTACCTTTATTAGTCTGATAAACATCAGTTTAACCCACAGCATGCCAGAAAAACATACTCCTCACCATTTGTCATCTGGGTTCAAAGGATCCTTTTTTTAATCCCAACCCAGTGAACTTTTTTATTTCTCCCTCATCTTTTTCATTTCAATCACCTTTATTCATGCCTACCTCCGGATGTGTCCATTTATAAACTGTAGGTGAGGTAAATTTTGGGGTACAAGTGTCATACAAAAAGTAAGAATACTATTCATTTAGCAAAATGGGTTTAGATCCACACCACGAGATCTGAGTTTTGTCAGATGCTCAGAAGGCTCCCCTTTAAAAGGGCAGGTATTGGTGGTCACAAAACATCATTTGAAGGCCTTCCTCTTAATGACTAACTCCATGAGAACACCATATTTTCTTTTCTTTTATAATTTATTTATTTATTTATACAAGCACTGGGTACAGTCAGAAGCACGGGAGGGTGAGAGAATTCACCGGAGCCAGAGGGGAGAGCAGAGCAGGCAGACTGACGAAATACACTGCTGAGGGGAGTAGCGGGTGACAGGAGAGGTCTGTGCACCCTGTGGGACC